AGCTAAAAGAAAAGTTTGTGATTTATATTTAGACATTTTTTATTCAAGATTTATTTAAATAAATTAAAATTTATTTAAATGATTTGATTTAAAAGTCGGTTGAAATGTAATATGATAAAAATAGATATAAATTTTGTTATATATACATATAATTTGTAACTTATTTGATATTTTAAAGAAAAATAAAAAAATTTTAATTTTAATTTTTTTAAAAAAGAGAGAATTTAAAAATATAAAATAAATTGGTAGATAAAAAATCATATTTTTTAAGCAAAAAGGTAGAATGAAATGCTAAGATAAATTCATAAACTATGAATTAATTATTAATATTATTTTGATATAAAATATAAATTTAATAAAATTCTGAATATTATTAAATTAGAAATGATACAATTTAATTTTTAGACTCCACACAACATACATGCGTAAACAATCTCACATGATTTATATTATATATAGCTTTTTATTCTTTTATAAAAATAAATTAAAAAATTATAGTTGATTCCTCCTTCAATTTTTTTGAAGAAAAAAATAAACAAGAATGAAAAATATTATGCAGCCTTCCCCCTTCTAAAATCTAAAAAAGGTTGCAAAAATAATATGTTTGTATTTTGATAATTGGAAGAGAGGAGGGAAGAGAAAACAAAGAAGGATCTAACATTCATTTGCCTCGTATAATACGCAAGGCATTTCACCTTTTCACCATAAGCTAGAATTTTGAGCTTCTATTTGAACAAGCTTTTGAAATAAAAGCTCTTTCAATTTTTTTTATTCAAACATATTTTTAAATCATTCAATGAATTTTTGCCCTCCAAACTAAGGTTGGGCCCCGATAGTTGTATTGTGTATAGTGATTAAATTACATCTCTTATAATTTATAGGGTAATAATCAAGAGACAGTGAGAGTTAGCTTCTAAAAAAATTAAATTAATGACAATTAGGTTTTTAATAAAAAATTTTAAAAAATAAATTTTAAATATTAATTTAAATAGTTCCAGAGAAAAAGTCATATTAGAATTCAAGAGTTACATTTAGTATTCAAATACACATTTGCAATTGAAATTCTTGAGTTTGTAATTATTTAAATAACATTCTCAACTTATTTTTAAAAAAATTATTAGAGATTTAATTATTATTAATTTAATATTTTAAAACTTAACCGTCATTCTCCTTATAATCAATCCATATATAAAGTTCCTCTTCACTACCCAAAAAAAAAATCCATATATAAAGTATGGAGATATGTGACATGAGAGGAGTAAATTGTTATAAATAAAATTCCCTGTTGTTTACTCAAAAAGGCCATGTTATACGTATATAGAGTCAATTTTATGAGTGTGAGTGTTCAAATTGATGCAAACATATAAAAAAGTAAAGTAAAAACATGTGGATTTCCTAATCTTGTGTTGAGTGCGTTGTGAACAAATCAGCGAGCGGCACACAGAAAAAAGTTCATTTGTCTCGTGCTTTGCTTTTCTTGGTGACATATGTCATCAATTCATCGTCCTCACATTTGATAGTACATATATTACACACACGCGCGCACGCACACACACTATAGTATATAGTCTTCACTTTGAAGGCCGTACTAATTTAAGTGCGCCCGCGCGCGCATATATATATATATATATATATATGTAGGGAAAATAACAAATAACTGGATGGCGACCGCAAATGGATAAGAATTACAATCTAAGACCCCAAATTATTGAAACTCCATTGGAGACCGAGGTCCATGATTGTAATAAAAAACGCTCTTCTTGACCAAAAATACCCCCTCCATCTGGCAAGGGGCCACTGGATTCCAACCGGTTGCTAGAAGGCTTTTTTTTTTTTGGCCAAAAATGGTATTGCTAGAAGGCTTGCTGATGGCCAAATTTTCTGAACTTCACTGTTAAAAGGCCATGAACGAGTCAGAGGCAAATCTCTGACGAGGATACCCTTGGCAAAGAATAGAGGTGAAAAATGAATGAGCTTGATTTATATAGACCCCATTCTCATAAACTTAGGTCTTTGAGCCTAGTTTCTTGAAAATTTGTCATTATTTAAAGTTCGGCTCTTGTTTAAAAAAATTCAAGATCAAGCCCATAAATAAGTTTTTAAAAAATTAAAATTAATATCATAACATTTAAAAATAATTAAAATATTCCAAAGTACATAATAGATTAGGATGAACAAAGCAATAACATTTTACCCCAAAAAAAAAAAAAGAATTGATCAATCTGAAAAACACAAGGTTATCCACCATATCTTGAATTGCCCAGAGCACAGATCTCCCTGATTCATATCAACTACATATGCCCACTGTTGAGAAATGAATAGAAATCAACAACCAAAAAAGCTCCCTCTTGTTCTAGCTTTCAAATTACTAAATAGGATTTCAAAATCAACGCAAACGAACAAGTGAAAATAGGATGTATTCAAATTAAAAAGAGAAAATTGCACATTCCATACGAAGGTATTTTGAAAGGGGGAAGTGAGGGGAGAGATTACTGGAGAACCTAGAGAAACTGTCAAGATTGAGTATCAAACATAGATATGAAGTAGAACAAAAAGATGGAGTGAGGAAAGTGATGAGGTGAGTAGTCGCCACCGTCGAAGTCTAAGATGCATGAGATCAAGATGTTGAGATCGTGAGTGATAGGGTAAGGAGAGTGACTGAGTAGCTCGCATCATGACTAGAAGCTAAGATCAAGGATAAGAGAGAGACTGAGTGCGATGGTAGCATGACTTGGAGTTGAGAATCAAACATAAGAGGTGAGATTAGGAGGGTTAAGGGGAGGGGGAGTTGTTGAGAGTGAGTGAGGGAGAGGAAGTGAGCCGAGAAGGAGAGGAGGGATTGAATGGGTGTGTTAGGGTTTTTTTCTTCAAATGATAAATTATGCACTGTAGGGCTTGTTTGATTAGAGGGGAAGGAAGGGGAGGTTTTTTAAAATTTTCCCTCTCCTTCCCTCCAAAACCTTCCCCCCAATTTGGAGGGATGCACCCCTCCCCTCCCCCTCCTCTCTCCTTTCCTTCCCTCCCCTCGCCTCTTTTCCCTTCCTTTTGAACCAAACAAAATCTTAGGGATGAAAAAGCTGAAAAAAAGAGGGAACTGGGATTGGAGGACTAACTGGGTTTGAGCTTGTTTTTTTCATAACCTATTAAGGCAGGCTCTGAAGCCCAGTTTCTTTAAAAAAATTCAATTTCTCAAGCCCAAACTCTTATAAAAACAGGCTTAATTGAGTCGTCCTATAGGCTCTAATATTTATATCTAATATTTTCAATGGATGGTTTTTTAAATATTGGGATAAGGAACGTGGCGACAGATAGATCTGGATGGAATAGAATGTGGAGTGGTGCTGTAAAGGGATGTTAGAGAGAAATTATGATGGGTCCAATTACAAAGTTGAGCAGTCAATATGTAGTCGCATAGTCGAACCCCACGCATTCATAAATTTGTGTGGTTGGTGTTTGTGTGAGTCAAGTTCTCGACTTCCAGAGTCAGGGTGCGGGCCTCCTCAACCGGAGGCCGAGTCAAGATTTCAAGTGAAAAAGGTGCAAAATCTCATAACTCAAGAATAAAGATTGCAAAATATTGAGATTTGTACACCTAAATGAGAGGGTGCACTTCACTACTTGGCCCCTCACCACAAATGTGATTCCACTGGGCTCAATTAAACATATCGTGCTTCACTCAACATATTCTCAACTTGTATCGTTTTTAGATTACATGAAGTTAACTAATCTAAATCTGCATTATTAAAATGAACGAGCGCATGTTGGGACATCATTGAGTCACTGGCAGAATTCCATGTGATCATATATATGGCTACGGTTAGGATTATCTTCTGGAGGATCAAATTTTCTTCTTCTCCCATCCATCGTGGGGCATGATTTAGCTACAAAAATTTATGACCTTTTTCTAAAGCATGACTTCAACATTTTTTTTTTATGTCCCTTTTGCACTCACCGGTCTCTATCATTTGTTGAATGTGTTTGGATCACCTATGTTCAGAGGCATTTTTAAATTGCAGGGGGAAGCTCCTGTGTATTAGTGCATGCTAGTATAGCCGCAGTGATTAGTTATCTTGTTATAATTTCTGATATGAGATTAAATCAAGTTTGTATCTTCGTAGCTATAAGCTTATATAAGTATGTGTACACAGTTTATCATTGAATATGATTTTTCCCTTTTTTGGTGCTTCCTTCTCTGTTTACAACCAGATCGCTGAATTTGAAAATACCTTCCTACTCGTGCCTACTATTTTCAACACATCGAATTTAAGCATTGAACCTAGTAAATTTGGTCCCGTTTGGATTTTCATGGACGTCACTTTCCCTCTCACCAGCTCACATAATCTCCCTGTAAGCCACACTCCATTATTACGAAATCCTACTACATTGTTTTTGAGATCACACGCGATTATAAATTTTTTTTTTTTTTAAAAGATCTGATGATATCTGTTGGATTTTATCGAAGTGGCGCCACATTGCCACATTACAAATTATAAATTCATTTCAATAGTTGAATTTGACAGGAGCTTCGTGGTTATCCTACCCACCCGCGATTGATTATAAATTCATTATATAAATTAACCTGAAGGCCTTCGACTCGGTTTGGACTTTGGACTGGTGATTTGTTTTTATCTACTCGGAGATTTAGCTGTTTGAAATCAATGGTACACTTAATGAAACGAATTGTTAAAATATTCAACAAATTAAAATTAAGTTCGTATATATCCTTCAAATTAAAGAAATGTAAAGGGATATTATTATTATTATTATTTTTTATAAAAAGGGATGCAGGAGAATATCGACGAATACAGAGCATCCGGCGCCGTCGTTTCATGCCTGCCAATAGAAAACTATGTTTCATTAGAACAAATTAAAGATCAGGACGTACAGGAAGAAAAGGGAAAAGATCGATTTCTTTCTTACTTACCATTCCGTAGTACTATGAAAATATATAAAAAATAAAAATCCATATCCTCTTTATTCCTTGCTCGGTTCGGTTTGTCCCCACCTAATCTGTCTCTCCCTATATATAACAAATGCTCTGCAGAATTTGAACTCAAGTTTATGGAGAGTCAGGATTTGTCGGCACCGGACATGGACGCATCCCGACCGTCGCTAGGCTTTCCTCTCGGCACCGCCTTCCTCTTGATCGCCATCTTCACCATAAGCGGCATCTGCTCCTGCTGCTACCACTGGGACAAGCTCCGATCACTTCGCCGATCGTATCCTCCTCCTCTTCAATACCCATCCTCGCCCCATAAATCCCGACTCTCCTCCGCGGTATCGATTCCTTCGGCCGATTAATTAAACCCACTAGCTATAAGTATAAAGCATTACTGAAATTGCTTGCTGATATATCTGCGTATGTGACAGGATAAGCAGAACAGAGGGCAGAGCTTTCCGGTGCTGATGCCAGGCGATGAGGTACCCAAGTTCATAGCCATGCCGTGTCCCTGTGAGCCTCACAGGATCTCTGTTACCGTGCAGAAACCCCCCCTACTCACTGCGCCTCTGCCTTAGAAATTAACCAGATTATTCGCTCTGTAAATATATGCATGCATATATGTAGTCAGCGTGTAAATTACTTCTACGAATTTGATTTGATGGTTAATTATATTGTGCAACTCATTTAGCACTTTCCGGCGGTTTTTCCTTCTTCTTCTGGCCATCGTCGGAGAGGGAAAATCTGACTAGATGCTTCTTTACTTTCAGCTCAAGAAAAGCACCCTGCTTGACTTTTTATAGTGTGGAATTCTTTTACGGCATTGTGTGGGCTACAAGATTACGACTTTCTTCCATCACCCTGAGAATATTGGTTTATCATTTTTCGTACAGGAAATGTTTCCGGCACATTTATGCTGTGGATATAGCTCTGGTCTCAAAATATTCGTTTTTCATAATTATACGTATCTTTAAAAAACAAGTGTGTGTGTGTGTGTATTTGGTAGGGTCGTATAGGAAGAAAAATTTAGATGAAATACTTAATAGAAAAAACAACCATGAAGGCATTTACACAAACCGGTGCTCTGTGCTCACCTTTGGTATTCCGAAAGAATAAAGGTACCTGACTATAATGATATTGCATTTACTCTAAGCTGAATTCAAATCCATATAGGTCCAGTTATCAGAGATGGAAAACTATATTGATAGAGTCCCAAAAGGCAGCACTATGAGTTGGCCTGTTGCCCTGTTCTGATAAAGAAGGACGATGATGGCGTCAAATATATTCCAGGGCCAATATGAAACCAGCCACGCTAGTTATTACCTGCAGAAGATACCTTTGCTTAAAATCTTCGCTCGTCTCGTGGACAAATTAGATCTTGAGAAAAGAATAAAATTATATATGTACTAGTATATATATATATATATATATATATTCCTGGTTTGTTTTGGTTCCAAATTATCACGAATCCAGACGTGTCCAGATAGGATTCGGTGCCGGTTGGGGGCGTCTGCTTCTGGGGAGCTTTCAAGATGATAGTGATGATTCACGGAGAATAAAGTGAATGATGTTGTGGGTTTGGCCGTTTGGGACCCCAAATAATAATGGTAATAATAGCATCTCATGACCTAATAAAAATATAGAGAATTAGCATTAAATTAATTAATGACAATTACTGCATCTTCAACAAAATTGTCTGAAAATAAGTTGGAAATATATATTCATACCAATACCATTAAAAGTAAGAGCCCTAATTATAATATAAAAGTTAAATATTAAAATTCTTGAATTTATAATTATTTAAATTAATATTTTGAACTCTTTTTTTTATATAGAAAAAAATTGTCAGGCTATTAATTTATTCTTTGAACACTTAAATATTATTATTGCATGAAAATAAGGGAAGAGGGCATGCATATAGTACCAAAACTGTGTACCTTTCTGTGATAGATGCCAGTAGCCCATGTCCACTTTAACATGGCACTCTCAGTATCAATGCTCTTCGATTTTGACAACGTGTGTGCCCCATCCACGTCCACCTTCAACACCACTTGCTTCCTCCTCCTCGTTTTTTCCTGGAACCTGCGCTGTCACATCGGCACCTAATTCTATCTTTTCCAAACAATCAAATTCAGACTATTATTTCAGAATCAAGTTGTAACATGTTCACAAATTTTGAGATAATGTTCACATTACAAATGTAGGGACTGTCCCGTGGTAGAAAGCGTGGCGGCTCCGTATGAGTTTTATATTCTAATTTCTACATCGTACTACTCACTCCAAGCACCTAAACGAGTTGTTGACGCCAATTGATACCTAAGGTTTATAAACTTCAATTTAAGGACATTTAAATTTACCTTGCCTACGTTTTCTCGGGTTCTTAATCTGTGCTATCAATAAGCATGATGATTTTACAACAAAGTCATGATATTATTTGTAAATAAAATATTAAGCAGAACATGGAGCTAATTTATTTTTCAAAGCTTTAGCGCAATGCTGGAATGCAAGGAGGAGGGAATCTGGGAATGTCTCAAATTATTTAGTGTGAAATTACGATGGCTTCCCCCTTTTCTTTTAATTTATTAATTTTTTACACGGATTTTAAGATTTTTCTTTAATTTAAAAAATATGTTAAAAATAATTTATAAATAAAATATAATATTAATAGGCTAATAGCGGTATAGGAGAACTGCAGGCTCTGAGGCTATTGTATTTTTATGACCAACAAGCTGATGCCTGATATACACGTGGATCGCGGCATACGCTGCAAGTGCAGCAGTGGGGCCACTTTGAACTAATTTAATGACGAACAGACGAAGCGGCGAGAAAGTAATTAATGTCTCTTTGACTGTTGTCTCTTGGATATCAAAGGGACAGACCAAGAATTTTCGGAGACCGTAAAATTCAGAATACGGGTCAACTCCTAATTATTTCTGGGATTAATTAATAGACGGCTGTCAATACTACTACTATAACAACAACAAACCTTTATCCCATTAAGTGAGGTCGGTTACATAGATTATAAGACGTTATTGTGCTCTATCATTTATCAAACTTTTAGAAATATTATTAATTAAGAAATCGCGTTCAATAACTTTTAAGAGTATTCTCTTAGGCCTTCCTCTACCTCTCTTAATCGGATTCAAAGTTATATGTTCTACTCTTCTCACTGGTGCCTCCCTTGGTCTTCTTTGTACATGCCCAAACCATCTCAACCGATTTTCTATCATTTTTTTCTCAATAGGTGCCACCCTCACTTTTTCACGTACGTGCTCATTTCGAATTTTATCTTTACGTGTATGTCTGCACATCCATCGTAACATTCTCATCTCTACTGCTCCAACTTTATGCTCTTGCTGTCCCGTTAGAGCTCAGCATTCACTACTATATAACATTGCCGATCTGATAACAGTGCGATAAAACTTTCCTTTAAGTTTAGTAGGCACCTTACGGTCGCAAATAACTCCTTTAGCTTTTCTCCAATTAAACCACCCAGCTTGAATTCTATGTAAAATATCTCCACTGATTTCGCCATCATTTTAAATAATGGCTCCCAAATATCTAAACTTTTTCACTTGAGGTATAATTTGGTCTCTCAATTTCACTTCCAAATTATTGTTGAATAGTCCTTTACCAAATTTACAATATAAATATTCCGTCTTACTTCTACTCAGACGAAAACCTTTCGACTCCAATGTCCTCCTCCATAACTCAAGTTTGCAATTAACCTCTTCTCTTGTCTCTGCTATAAGAACTATATCATTCGCGAAGAGCATACATTTCATAATTTCCCCTTGAATATATTCCGTCAAAATATTTAAGATCAAGTTGAACAAATAATCACTCAGAGATGATCCCTGATGTAGTCCAATCTTTATAGGAAAATCCTTTGTTTGACCACTAGGCGTTCTTATACTAGTTTTTACCCCCTCATACATATCTTGTATGGCTTTAATATAAGCAATCCATACCCCCTTTTTTTCTAACGCTTTCCAAAGCACTTCTCTTGGTATACGGTCATAAGCTTTTTTCAAATCAATAAAAACCATGTGTAGATCTTTATCTTTACGACGATACTTTTCCATTAATCCCCTTAGTAGATAAATCGCCCCTGTAGTTGATCTACCTGGCATAAAACCAAACTAATTCTCAGAAATACTTGTCTCCAATCTCAACCTGTGCTCAATTATTTTCTCCCACAATTTCATTGTGTGGCTCATGAGTTTAATCCCTCTATAGTTAGTACAATTCTGAATATCTCCTTTATTTTTATAAATAGGAATTAATGTACTTTTCCTCCACTCATCAGGCATTTTCTTGGACTGTAAAATCATATTAAATAACTTAGTTAACCATCTCACCCCTTCTTCACCTAAATATTTTCACGCTTCGATAGATATACAATCAGGTCCGTTGGCTCTACCATTTGCCATTTTCTTAAGAGCTTCTTTTACCTCTTTATCACGTATTATTCGATAGAATGACAAATTTTGTTTTTCTTCACCAGTTACTAAATCCTCAAAGTTACTAGATGAACCCTCTCCATCATTGAAAAGTTTAGAAAAGTAAGTCTCTCATCAATTTTTAATTTCATCATCTGTAACTAAAGTTCTTCCCTCTTCATCCTTAATACACCTTACCTGTTCTAGATCTCTTGATTTTCTTTCCCTACTCTTGACAATCTTATAAATGTTTCGCTCTCCTTCCTTCGTCTCAAGGCTCTTATAAAATTCTTCAAAAGCTTTAGAACGAGCTTCATCCACAGCTCTCTTAGTTTCCTTCTTAGCCATATGGTACCTCTTCCAATTTTCCTCATTGTTACACAAATGTATGGCTTTAAAACAGTTCTTCTTATACTTGATTTTGTCCTGTACACTATTATTCCACCACCAAGACTCCTTATCTCTCGGACCAGAACCTTTTGATTCTCCTAAAACTACTTTTGCAACCTCCCGTATCTTTTTAGCCATATCTTCCCACATGATGTTAGCACTTCCCTGAGATTTCCAAATTTCTTTATCCAAAAGATTTCACTTGAAAATATCTTGCTTCTCACCTTTTAATTGCCACCACCTAATTCTTGGTGCTACTACTTGTCGACATTTTTGGATTTTACTCAAAATACACATATCAAGGACTAGGACCTTATGTTGTGTTGTTACAGCATCTCCGGGGATCACCTTGCACTTTTTACAAAGTCTTCTATCTATGTTCCTAACCAAAAGAAAATCAATCTGTGACCTTGAGGCTCCACTTTTATAAGTGATGAGATGCTCATCTCTTTTCTTGAAACAAGTGTTGACAATCTTAAAATCATACGCCAATGAGAAATCAAGAAGAGTTTGTCCTTCATTGTTTAGCTCTCCAAAAACAAAACCATCATGCACCCTCGCATACTGACTAGCTTCCCTTCCGACATGCCCATTAAAGTCTCCTCCAATAAAAATCTTTTCACTCTGTGGTATGCGTCGAATCAACCCCTCCAGATCCTCCCAAAATAATTCCTTAAGACTGACTTCTGTCCCGACTTGCGGTGCATAAGCGCTAACAAAATTAACAATCTCACGTCCAATTCACATTTTTAAGGAAATAATTCTGTCTCCAATTCTGCTAACTTCTACAACGTTCTTCTTCCACTCCTTATCTATAATGATGCCTACTCCATTGCGTGCACTTACTTTTCTTGTATACTAAAGTTTGAAATCTTGAATTTCCTTAGCTTCTTCTCCACGCCATTTTGTTTCTTGCAGGCAAAGGATATTAATTTTCCTTTGAATCATAACCCCTACAACCTCTACAG